CTGTGAGTGCTCCCTCCTGTGTGAGAGTGCTCCATCCACCTTCACTCTGGTCTCACGGACTTGCTTCATCAATTGAACCCTTTCTTACTCCATTATCAAATTTTTCTCTCTTCTCCCAACTGATCACTCAGCAGGTAAATATGCTCAAACCTCTTCACTCTCGTAACCTGCTCAATCCTGCTTTCTCTTCTAACTAAACTTCTTAAAAGAATAGCAGAGGCTTCTTGTATTCCTCTCATCACCCACTGCTCATTCTTTAATTCCCTGTCTTCTTGTTCCCACCTTCACTTAGACTAAATCTATTCTCATTAACTTCACCAGTGGCCACTTCTCAGTATAGCTAAGAGGGACTCTAGAGCTAGTTTCAAGCTTGTCTGCCAGACAAGCTGAGTGACCTCAAGCTTTTTAAACAGGGGGCCAGTTCACTGTCCCTCAGGCTGTTGGAGGGCTGGACTGCAGGCCCCGGGACGAGTTGGCTGCTAAGCAGGACAGGCAGCGGTGGCAAAAACACCCAGCGGGCCAGATAAATGTCCTAAGTGGGCAGCGTGTGGCCCACGGGCCGTAGTTTGAGGACACCTGCTTTAAAGGCTACTAGTTCCCTACAGAAAAACAGCCTTCATTTCCTAAAGATTTGTGGAAGTTTTGTTTCCTCTCCCACGCCCCGTCTCCACTTCTATCAATCCCCCAATTTATAATTAATTACTTTCAATGCCTCTCCCAAATTTCTAAGTTCATTTACCTAAGTATAAACACACATAGTCTGGTTTCTCTTCTCTTTCGCCTTTTACTAAGTATAAACACATGCATTTCACCTCCCTAGAATAATATTTACCTGTGAGAACCTTATTCATCCTTAAGTATTTAACCAGGGGTGTCCATCCTGTGGACCACATGCTGATTTTGGGAGGACTTTTTGCTTATTTGTGGTGTTGGATATCACGAAAAGTATCCATACACCTTTTTTTTTTTTTTTTTTTTTTTTGGCTAATCAGCTTTTGTCAGTGTTTATGCACTTAACGTGTGTCCTAAGACGATTCTTACTCTTCCAACGTGCGGCAGAGAACAAGACAAGTTGGACACCACTAGAACCCAAGAATTATCTCTATAGGCTGGGTGCAGTGGCTCACAGCTGTAATCCAGCACCTTGGGAGGCTGAGGCGGGTGGATTGCCTGAGCTAACAGGTTCAAGACCAGCCTGAGCCACAGCGAGACCCCACTTCCAAAAACATCGGGTGTTGTGGTAGGCACCTATAGTCCCAGCTGCTTGGGAGACTGAGGCAAGAAAATCGCTTGAGCCCTGGAGTCTGAGGTTGCTGTGAGCTGTGACGCCACAGCACTCTAACGAGGGCAACAAAGTGAGACTCTGTCTCAAGAACAAACAAACAGAAAAGAATTCTCTCTATAAAGTCTCCCCTAAAAACAATCTAAAGAAACTGAATACTCCTGTCCTTCATGCTACGGCTTTACACAAAAACTCTTAACAGGTGAGTGGAAATTTCTTTCCAAGTTCAGCTTCTTTGCAGGATTTGAGTAAAAACTGTTGGCAAAAGTGGGGTGGAAATTAGGAACACCTCTCCTTCCAGAAAAACACAGATGAAAACACAGGGAATTAGGAGCCTTTCAAGGCTCTCATCTTAATTAGAGAAGTATGTGACCAAGTCTGCCTTTTAAAAGTTGGCTTTAAAAGATGCTTCCAATGATTTTGAACAAATGAAGGAAAAAAGAAGATTATTAAATGGAAGGTGGCGGATGAAGGACGGCACAAACTAGGCATCCTGTGAAATGTGACGTGACTACCTGTCCACCTGTTTCCTTGACTAGTCTGTGAGACCTTAACATCAGGAACCACGCCCTGGTGTAAAAACACCTTTGTGATTATCGACCCAGCACCTACTAGTGTCCGGTATGTAGTAAGTGCTTAATGAACATTTGGTAAATAATTAAATCTCTTTCTATAATTTCAGTAGAAGTTTTATAACAATCAACAAAAATTTTTTATCATTTTCTGGCATTAGAAACAAGTAAATAACACTCCCCCGCTTCTATCCCATAAAATTAAACAAAGTCCTTATAGAAAGCAAAGAGGAATCATTCTTTTCAGTAAAAGTCAGAAATGCCAAGTTATGAATTTCATGACTCATCCCCAAACAAAAGTAAATTACCTATTTGGCCAGCAATGACAGGAGGTCTGACAACTAACAGGATCAGTTTATCCAGCAGAAGATGAAGAAATCTGACCACCGGCTCTAACTGAGACGAGCTCAGGGCTGAAATGCTGCTCTTCAGTTCATTTTCCAAGTTATTTTCCATGATTCGCATGTCTCCAATTCGGACGGGGAACATGTGTTCATCCAGAGCGTTGACCAGAGCAAAGAACTTGTCAAGGTAAGGATCCTACAACAAGTGTCAAACGTAAGCTCTAAGTAAGTATTACCGCAAATATTCTAATCCTAAAGAACTGTGGACTAGCATCTCATATTAATATTAAAGAGGACATATAGGTATTTGCAGATAACGTTTCCAATGAAACGCATCTATTTTCATTTATTATTATAAAACAGGCACTTCAAATATTAGCGACTAAAAAAAATCTACTGATATTAAGTAAGGATTCTTTTTTTCAGTTTAAATTTGCTCTGTTACTGTGGCAGGCGTATTAGTAACCTGCCTAGGCCCACCTATCGTCTCATCTAATTCATTGAAGGGAAACGTTACCGTGAAAATTATTAAAACTCACTTGTGTATGGATAGACGAAACGGCAACGACTTCCACGTTAAAAACACCTTTGTGATTATCGACCCATTTCATGCCCGGTAGAGGAACCTGTAAGGTGTTAAATACAATGTCACAGATGCTGAAGCGGACCATGAATTCCAGTCTCCATGAGAAAAAACACCGTGAAAGTATCTTTTTGTTCATTGTAAAAAACTTACAATTCATTCTTATGTAAAAATCAATAAATATTGTCTACAAAAGCATCAAAAGGCTCAAGGGGCAAAAATGCATAAAATAACACATAAAATTTCATTTTAAATCCTCTATGTACATGTATTTTCCTACAGACCCTTATGCAGTTTTGATTTTCAC